TAGCTCTGAGGCCTCGCTGCTGAAAACATCGATACAATGTTGCGGTCCGGCACGCCTTACTGAAAGCCGGTTTCTGGGGTTTTGTTTAGCTTCTTATTTGCAACATAGTACATAGTTGCTTAGAGTTGCAGCTGAGAGGCCGGCTCGGCAATTGAGCCAGGGAATGTTAGAGTCAGCAGTCACTGGAGCAAGCAAGCTTCCCTGCTCGGTTCAGTGCATTGGTGTCGGCCGCCATCTTGGCTGAGAGTTAATTTGCATAAGGATATGCTGATTAGCCAATGGGAAGGGTAGCGGTCGTACGCTAATTACCATGTTTCTCTTTTATTAGTGTAGATAATTTTATGCTTTTATGTCAATAAAAAGATTTCATTAAAAAGGGTTAGCTATGCCCTAACCGGTTTGGCTCAGTGGATATAGCGTTGGCTTGCGAACTGAAGGATCCCAGGTTCGATTCCGGTCAAGGGCATGTACCTTGGTTGCAGGCACATCCCCAGTAGGGAGTGTGCAGGAGGCAGCTGATCTATGTTTCTCTCTCATCGATGTTTCTAACTCTCTATCCCTCTCCCTTCCTCTGTGTAAAAAAATCAATAAAAATATGAAAAAAAGCTAAAACTTAAAAAAAAGGGTTAGCTATGTCATGCTATATAATAAAAGCCTAATATGTTAAGTGTCCAGTCGTCCGTTCAACTAATCAAAGCATAATATGCTAATTATATGGTAAGGCCACTCAAGTGCTTGCTATAATGTGCACTGACTACCAGGGGGCAGATGCTCCGACCGGTAGGTTAGCTTGCTGCTGGGGTCAGGCCAATTGGGACTGAGCAATACGGGTTGGACATGCCCTTGAGCCCTCCCGCGGTCCCTCCCTGACTGGCTAGCCTTCTTTGTCCCTCCCTGGCTCCCATCCTGCACCTGTGGGGTCCCTCGGCCTGACCTGTGCTCTCTCCCAATCTGGGAGCCCTTGGGGGATGTCAGAGAGCCAGTTTCGGCCCAATCCCGCATGCCAGGCCGAGGGACCCCACTGGTGCACGAACTCGTGCACCAGGCCTCTAGTCTACACTAATAAAAGAGAAACATGGTAATTAGCGTACGACCGC